TGTAGCACAAATGTTTTTTCACGATCAAAATCAAACCAGTAGTTTTGCTTTTTCTACATAGCCTAACATGAAGTTATGGTCTGTATTAAAAAAGAAAAGTCTCTTATTTCTGGTATCAGTCATGTTTAGCTGTCGCAAAGTGTGTAGAATTCCATTATGGTATCAAATCGCTCTTAAACTTATACATGGCAGATGTTTGACAAATAAAAACATCCTTTTCAAAGAGTAAAACTACCACGTCACTGAAAGGAAATACCTTTTATTACAGCAACTTTTCGACCTTCCTACTGTGGCCGTCGTCAGGCTTAAAAATGACTGTATAAAATATAAGCAATAATATGTTGTTCTGAAATGTTCTATCTCTGCTGCGATCTATACTAGCTATAGCCTACGCCTACCTACAAATTTTTGACTGTTCTTATCCCAATGGTATCTTTATAGTATTAGTTTTCGTCTGAACATTTATAGGTTGCACGAACGTAAGACAGATGTTACATTCACGCGAAACATTGTTCGTGAATTTACTTACCTTTCTTTTTGGAGATATAACGTTTTTGCGATTGATATAAGAGAATTAATGAAACAAAGTAACCGCTTTATAAATTGTAATTACGTTTAAAGTATGATAGGCTATTTTTTAGGAAGTTATGAATGGTCTTTGCTAGTTAAAGATTAGTTATCATTTTATAAATATGGGTATTTTGTGAAAGTGATTTTCAGATATTTTACTGTGAAAGAGGGTCAACATTTATTGAACAATCATTCTGGTCCTTACAGACAGGATACGTTACAAAATGAAGGACAAATCAGAACAGAAGATGAGCCGTGGGGTCGTTATTAAGTTACTACCAATCCTACTGTACATTGTTCAAAACGTAGCCCAAGAGTTGGCGGTGGATGATGTTGACTAGCTGCCTTCCCTCTAGTCTATTACTGCTAAATTAGAGATGGCTAGCGCAGATAGCCCTCATATAGCTTGGTGCGAAATTAAAACCAAAACAATCTTATTTAGAAAATTGACAATATATTGATTCTTTTAAGCAATAAAATGGAACACACATTACTAAAACGTTATCAGAAAAATGCTTATTTTAAAGTAATCACTGGCGGAGAGGTGGGGCTGTTTCAAATGGCACTCATTAATTTTCATATGGAAAATGAAGTTGATAAATATTCAATTATTCTAACCATTCTCATTAATAGAAGTTAGAATAATTTTAGTACAACAGGTTACCGAAATGTTATTAGAAGAAACACATAGTTAATTTAAATTAAAATACAGTAAAATCTAAAAATACTGCGTGACATAAGCCTGACTAAAACCAACTGGAATTGTTGAAGTTTAAGGAGAATATGAACTTTAGAAAAAAATAGAGGTCAATAATTAGAAACAGAAAAGAATAAATAAAAATCCTAGGACAATTTTCAAGTAAAAACTCATTCTTTTCTGCCTCCTCTAACTTAATGAGTAAATAAAAAAGGTAACTTAAACTTTTGGGAGAATGAATGGTGTTTTTCAGCCCGTATAAAAAGAAATAATCTTTTGATTATTATGTTCATAATTAAACTGTCACCTATACTTAGCCAGTTACCCAAGTTTATAAGCGAGTTTAAACAAGATGTTGTCATAAGTATTTCCAGCTGTAATATAAAATAATTTTCTTTGTGTTGACATAACGTGCTGCCCCAATTCTATATAAGTTTTATTATGTAGATATATGCACCTAGGAATTCTAGATTACGTATGTAACGAGTTCTAAATTACATCAAGTTCTAATTAACTTCATTTAAGTGAGTTGCTCTAGCACAACGCAAGATTTTTTTTTGATGGTGGAGAAAAGGTATGTATTAAATACATTATTATAAACGCGTCGGAATCTACACTAACCTGTAAAATTTCTGGATTCCCTTCACTGTGTATTGACGCCGAAAATGTAACATGGCATTGTATACTATCATATATCGTTTGAAAAGTGACTTCTAGAAGTTTCTTGCGTAAAGCTCGATAAGTTAAGTATAACGTTGAACCTTACGCATACAATATTCAGTTAAAATCTTATATGCTGAATTCCCAATCCATCAAACTCGTCATAAAATCGCTAGTAACATTCAGAGAGGAAAAAAAAACTGAAAAAAAAGTTTCATCTCCTCATCACATGAACTATTAAATTAGAGACTGATACTTGTTGGAAGGAATTGATCTGTCAGATAACAATTTTAAAACAAACAAACGAAGAGTGAAAAATATATCAACACCTAGAGTGACTCTAAATCCCAATTTTGTAGTAGTTTTGAAACAAGCAATCACTGTTTTCAGAATTTTAATTAGAACAAAAAAAAAATGTGAAAATATATATTTTAATTTATAATGAAAAATATTTTTGTTGTTTTTCTTTTCTTTTCGTTATTTTAAATTTCCCTTTTCTGGCAGAAATAATTAGTCAGATTAAAAGAAAAGTTCACACACGTAAGATGGCTCTCTAGGTATACTCCTGTCTATCAAAGTAAACTCCAGAACGCATGAAAAATCCTGGTATTATACTTTCCTACATTATACAAAATGTATCAGCGGTAGGCTTAGATTTAGTTTATTTAATTAAACTTATCTGTAACATGTAGCAATAACACTTATTACGGTGCTAACCGTAATTTTAATTTTCATTTTTAATAGATGTTTTTTAGATATAATCATAAAAATTTTACAAATTAAAGTTCAAGGAATACTTAGAATTTTAAAGTACATCAGAAAAGACAAAGATGTATCATTAAGACTTGATTCCAAATTTCTAATTAATAATGTTCCCTTTATTATCCCAAACGTTCTTTTGTTCCATGCTGAGCAAAGGATGCTGAAGTTTTTATCGCAAGATGTCCTGTTATACATATTGTTTTCGTTGGTAAAAGAGTAGCCCAAGAGTTGGCGGTGGGTGGTGATGACTAGCTGTCTTCCCTCTAGTCTTACACTGCTAAATTAGGGACGTCTAACGCAGATAGCCCTCGTGTAGCTTTGCGCGAAATTAAAAACAAACAAACAATACATATTGTTGACGTAAATATTAGAATGATTTTCTTAGTTCCATTTGAGATTTTCTTTCATTCGAACTGCTAGGTGGCGCACCGTGTAACCGATATTTTGTTTGTAGTTAAGCACAAAGCTGCACAAGGGGCTATCTATGCTCTGCCCACCACGGGTATCGAAACCAGGTTTCTAGCGTTGTAAGTCCGCAGACATACCGCTGTGCCACTGAACGACGTGTAACCAATATAAACCTATTTACAACAGGTATATGTACATCTCGTATGACCACCAAAGTGTTAGAATAAAATGTTTCACTTTGAAAAACCAACAACATTTAATGCGTAATTGAGGTCTAAAGATGATTTTCAGTGAAATGTGTAGATATAAAGATTTTATTGGTTAGACATTTAGAATCAAGCCTAAAATATATCTCTTCGTATTTTCCTCATTATGTTCCATTCATGTGTAAGGATAGATTGTCCATGCTAACTTTGTTAGTTTAGGGTTGTTCAGTTTTCACTGATATAAAAAGACCATCGTAGGAGTGTAGATAAACTGGTTCCATATCATTGTTGATAACATTATTGTTTGACTGCAGAAATTCAATACTTTTTGGTTTGCAAATTTTCGTTTCAGCAAGTATTTTGGAGTCTTTCCGTTGTATGTAATGGTTTATGATCATATGGTTAGTTGTGGCTGACTTTTGAAGCTTTGTACCGTCAGTTTCGGTTTGTGTTTTAGTGAACGCTCCTCAAGGAGCTGTAAAGAGAAACGTTGAGTGTAATTACATAAAAACGACATTTTATTTCTGGTATTAATATACTATTTGTTGTGTGTAGTAATCAACAATAGACGTGAAATGTGACTGCAGTAGTGACAAACAAAATACCATTTTCAAGTCTAACAAAACTGATTAAAATTACATATAACTGCAGATATGTTTTCTCACATTCTCGTTAATTTGTGCATTGCGTATTTCGAATTAGAAATTGCGTATATCAAAATGCATTTCAGATTGATCTTGTAACTCAACAATACAATATTTTATCCCTACATTCCTCTTAAGAATTCTTGGAAGGTGGCTGAAAACAGAGAAATTCATCTTGAGTGTCGTGGACGCCAATCCATCCGTAATCCGCAGCAGCGGGTATTTCAATGACCAAACTTTGGTCAAAAGATGCTATTTTTACATACCTCTGATATAAAATCCGAGATTGAAAAATTACGATAAATTTGAGAAGAAAACTTCTTCAGTCAACCGTGATTTTAAGTCAGCAATCTTATAACGTCAATAATCGGTTTCGATACCCGTGGTTGGCAGAGCACGAGTAGCCCAATGTGTAGCTTTGTGCTTAACAATAACAATCAACTAACCTAATTCACCATTTCAAGTCCGTCAGAACTAATAGTACAAGAAGAAGCAGTTCTTGTGCTACTAACCCTGATGGGAGTAAAATGCTGAAACTTTGGCTGAAATAAAAAAAAACAATTATCATTATCTGGAGAGTAAAGGTCGTTGTTTATTTAGCTTTATTACCGAAGTGTCTAAATCTCTCCAACGTGCACTACAAAGCTCTGTCTCTTCACTATATATAATTCCACTTATATGTTAGTATCCACTCTCACCTTCTGGTGGTAACTTCTGTTATTTGTTAGTGTAACTACATATTTTTATTAGGCAAAATCAACTTAACCTCCACATTCGTATCCCATTATTCACTTTTTGTGTTCAACTACATTCTCTTACTACAGTGGAAAAAGTAATCTTTCAATTTTGCTCATTCATTCAATCTGCAGAGCAGCGATTAGTATTTATATTTAATTTTTGCAATTCATTTACCTCATTTAACATCTCATGCATTGGATAATTTATAGATGAAATTGGAGAATCTAAGAGTTAGTATTTTCTACTCTTTAAGTTTTTTTTTCTAAAGATATATTACCTCTGATCAGACACCTGTTTTATCTCTTTACAACACAGACAAACCCAAGGTTGACATAAGCTTGGGATTGAACCAGAATTCTTGGACGGTAGCTGAAGACAGAGAAATTCATCTTCAGTGTCAAGTGGATGCCAATCCTTCCGTAGTCCGCAGCGGTTGGTATTTCAATGACCAAATTCTTCACAACAATGCAATACAAGGAATCATCATTCACAACCTAACGTTAATGATCCAGCGAGTGCAGCGCCATCACAGCGGTCGTTACCGATGTTTTGCTAATAACGTTGAAGGAAGAGGCGAGAGTGAAAATAGAGCAATCAAAGTAGAATGTAAGTCTTTTATTCATTATTACACCAAATATGCTCGCCCTATCAGCCGTGGGGGCGTTATAATGCGACGGTCAATCCCACTATTAGTTGGTAAAAGAGTAGCCTAAGAGTTGGCGGTGGGTGGTGATGACTAGCTGCCTTCCCTCTAGTCTTACACTGCTAAATTAGAGACGGCTAGTGCAAATAGCCCTCGTGTAGGTTTGCGCGAAATTCAAAAACAAACAATCATTCATTATTACTTCGTTCCTTTGTATATATGAACTTCAGAAAATAGCGTTTGTTTCAATAAAGTAATAATGTAAAATTTTAATTTAATAGAAGTCGTCAAAGATATTTCATGTTATTATAAAAATGCTTGTCTTATAGATGATCTTAAATTAGGTGTGGAAATATTGTGATCAACTTCTTTTAAAAGGATGCTTGTATCATAAATTATCTTAAATGTTTAGTTTGTGTACAATTATTATAATCATCTTCAGTTAAATTATAATATATAATATATTATAATAACTAATATATTATAATAACTATAATACTTGTATTATAAATGATCTTCTGTGGTTTACTTTGTGTAAAGATATTAGAAACTTATCTTAAAAGGATATTTGTATTTTGCTTATAATACCATAAAACTATATAATCATTTACGTCCAAACTTAACAAGGAACGTTAAAATTAAGTTTGATTTTCAAATACTTAAAGCACAATTACAATCAGTTTAATACAGAAGGAAAAGATAGGAGTATTCTTTACAATTACAACATGTAAAGTTATAAAAGGTAGTTATACTTTTGAATTTTATTTCTTACATATCTATACTTAAGTTAACCACAAAAACAAAAAAATATATATCAATAACTATAAAACAACTTTTTGAGAGATTTTAAAAATTAAATGTATAAAATGAAAATAACAAATGTCATACACACACAACTATATATATATATATATGTAGCATCATACATAATATTTTTACTGAATAAACATTTCACACTATAAACTTAATACAATGCTAATAAATATCAACTTAACCCTTTCGTATTTCCAAGAACCAAGAGAAATGGGGGAATTTGACGAAACATCAAATATTTATATTTCAATGATCTTATTGCATATTTTATGAATAAATGCCCCACAAACTATATATCTCTCTCGACTGATTAGGTCTTTATCAAGTTTATCAGCTTACCCCTCAGTTTGGGCCCGTTCAGACCACACGGTGCTTGGTCGAATGAATTATTGTTAAATGAAATTTATTAAGTTTAAATCATGTATGCAAACAATTAAACCAAAAATGGGCTGGGCGTGACCAGATAGATACCTTGCTCGCATTATGAATCCGATAGTTCGTTTCTTGTGGTTGAATGTCGCATAAACGCGCTCCGCAATTTTTAATACTGTAGGTGCTTCTAAAAAAATGTGGTGAAATTCCACTATTCCTTGGGACAGGAGTAGCTCAAGAGTTGGTGATAGGTGATGTTGACTAGCTGTCTTTCCTCTGGTGTCTTAGTTCAAATCTTGATAAACTTTGCGAGAAAATTCTGAAACAAAGAAACCAAAAAAAATAACATTCTGAAAATATTGAACAATACATAATAATATTTTTCTATAGAATTATAGTAATGGTCATTCATAAAAGATAATTCGACTTACTTTATCATTAAGTATTTTTAAAATTACACATACCTTCGCTATTTTAGAAATATGTAAATATAATAGAAAAAATTATGAGACGATCTCTTCTTGTGAATACAATAGGATAAAATACGTTTCTTGAGTTCTCGTAAGCTGCTGAACAGATAAAACAAAATTTGCTTGATACATTTAAAGGCAGTAGCATAAAGGAATTTTAATGTATTTATGGCTATAAAAAAATCATATTTGCATTCGATTTTTATTCTCAGATTAGATAACTGCCAAAGTTCCATCCAAGTTGTTGCAATCTCCTAAAAAAGAATGAAATGTAATTTTGCACATTAGATACATCCAGTGTTATTAAACAGCATAACAACATGAAATTGTGTAAATACGGGAAATACGCACAAGTATACGTTATTAAATATTTTAATGTACTTAACCTCCCTAAAAAATAAACAAATAAAAAACAATATTAACTGGCACTGGGGAGTTTCAAAGTTTTGAATAGCTTGGAAATATTTTTGAATCTGATAATGGCAGAAGGTTCAAGAAACGTGGCTTGAAATTTAAATATTTACTATCTGAAAACTGAAGACCATTAGGGGATCGTTCTTATTGTACAAATTTAACTTTGCAAAATATGATGTAGCATAAGTGGTTAAAAGTCTAGTTATGTTCAGTAGAAAATTAGAATACACATATAAATAAAAAACTTCATTTTGTTTACATATATGGCAAGACATCGGGGGTCATGACGTATTGAATCAACGCGTTGTGGCACTGTAAAAATAGATAGACAACGGAGTCACAGGGTATTGACTCATCGCATTGTCTAAATAGCCAATAAGATTGTATTAATTCTTGTTAGGCCTCATATATTTTAGAATATTTTAAAACGCTTAAAATATGTGGCTTAGCAAAAATTACAATGGTCTTATTGGCTACATCGACAACCAAAAAGTCATGACCCCGCTGGCTATCGATTTACGGGGATATAACGTGTTGATCCAACGCGTTGGATCCATACATTACGGTTATGTATATGGTAGCCAACATAACCATAACGCGTTAATCCGAAACGTAGCCGAACACCGACAATGCGTTGAGTCATCTTATGGCTCCGTTGGGTACCATCTACAGGACCATAACGTGTTGATCCAACACGTAGTTGAGAAATTCGGCAGCGCGTTGAACCAATCGTTGTGTCTCCAATGGCTTGCCTTATGCGTAAATAATATAACGTTATACGAATTACCATGAGAAAATTCATAGGTAACTTGATGTTGAGAGCAAATGACGAATAAATAGTTTAAAGGGCCTCTCCACCACTTCCTACCATTGAAGCGGATAATTTATTCATTTCAAAGGACATCATAACGATAGAAAGACATAGATTCATAGAGACTTCAACAAATATTCAGAGTCCCAGTTAAAAGTTTAAAATAATTAAATATAGACGAGTGTTAAAGACACTTTTTTTATGAAGACTGTGTCAAGGTTATTTTATAGTTAATACTGCCATGCTTCAGACAATTTCCAAATGGGTAAAGTACAGTTTTCAGAAATCATGGTCTTTCTGAAAATTGTAAATGATGCAGATTAAGTGGTATGTAATAGCAATGTTTGTGATATGTTACTGATATATCATGGCCATCTTTGTGATCTGTTGCTGATATGTCATAGCCAACTTTTTGATACCTTACTGTTATATCCTAGCCTGATCTGTTGCTGAAGAAAATGGGAATGTCATCCTATAATAAGAGAAATAATTTGTTTAACAGAGGTTCAATGACTTTACACTTGTAATGTGTTGTGTTCGATCTCTTCATATTCTTTAATGTGTGATTCTGTAACTTCTTTTGTCTTTAAAGTCACCCTCACTTATAGATAAAGGAAAAGGCTGTTGAATTTTCGAGAATGATATTGCATTTCATTTTTCACACATATATTACTCCAAAAAGAGTATGATAGTCAATATTTGTTCTATAACTCACGACATAATATTACTAGAAAAAATATGTAAATGTGTGCGTATTTAATTGTTCACTACTGTAAATATTGCAGAATCGCACATTGAAGAGTATGAAGAAATCAAACAAAACATTACAATGTTTAATTGTTTACTACTGTAACTATTGCAGAATTACACACCATACAGAGTATGAAAAAATTAAACACAATAAATTACAGTGTTTATTTGGTATCTACTGTAACTATTGCAGAATTGCACACCATAGCGTATGGAGAGATCGAATACAATAAACTTGCGTACTAATATAACTGTGAAAATTAATAGAAGCGCCATCTGTGGAAATTCGTTGTTCCATTGTCGTATATACTTATTTTTAATTTTAGTGCGGTGTTTGGTTTGTTTTCAAACTTTCAACTTTCGTTTTTTGGACAAAAGAATAACGCATAACCAATAAAAGATTTCCGTTTCGCTTTGTACGCGTTAATATTGTATTTCAAAACTTATGAGAGATAAAACACAAGAAACAAATATATTTTCTCAAGACTTGTGATGATAACTTTAAAAGTTAGATTATGCATGTATAACGACGGAATGACAACTAGCCTTTGTTTCTCTCTGATACGAGAAGATGTTGACAAGAATTCTTCTAACACGATCCATCGACTTATGAAAAATGTTCCATTGTTGGCGACACTTTCAAGGAAGAAAATACTTCCGCTTGTCTTGCATAAAAACTATTTATTAATCGGCGATGATATACTCTATCTTTGAGCTAGAAATCTTGCATTTTGTCAAATACCGCTTGTTTAAGTTGCCTCAGCTGTCAGAGATAACACTTTATTAACAACATGAAGAATAAGCCGACTTTAAAGCTGCTAGATCGTCACTTTTGTAAACATTAATCTTTACACAGCTGTGTCATACTTCTAAAGCAACCATAATGTCCTGAAATAATGATAAATTTTGAAATGAATAGACAGATTCGCTTTTAATTATTAAAATTTTAATATATCTAGCTTAAAATAATCGAATAAGACAAGACATGCAAATGAAAAACAAAAACACAGAAAAAAACGAAGAAAATATTTCAATTTTGTAATGATAACAAACGTATTATAATTATTTTTCTTTGAGCAAAGGTTCGTCAGGCAGTATGAATGTCTGGAACATATCATACAGACGTCTCATATACAACTCCAACGGGAATGTGCTGATACGCTGAAATATCACCTTCCACCTGCCAATATGAACTATCAACCTTGTATTCAAAATGAGTCACTTAGACCATACAACCTTTAAACCTAGTTGTACAAGGAAACCACACATCTAGCATTAACTTCATAACCCAATGATTTAATAATATTTCAGAACTGTAGGTCACACATGTATTGTGAGCAGGTTTTTTATTTTGTTTAATTGTTTGTAATTAAGCACAAAGCTACACAATGGGCTAGCTGTGCTCTGCCCACCACGGGTATCGAAACCCGGATTCTAGCGTTGTAAGTCCGCAGACATACCGCTGTGCCACTGGGGGGCATTGTGCACAGGAAACCCATGCTGTTTAATTTCATTAATGGGCTGCAACCAATAAGCCACCCTTTAAGTTTGATCATGCATTAGTGACAGGAGACAAATAACACCAGAAACTTACTTGGCCAACTCAGAGCACTCTGACACATTGGAAACGCTGCCTGAAATTTCACTACACTTGAGAGCTACTTTGCTTCTTATTACTAGTTGTGTACTAACGGTTGGTGGAAAATTTGAGTAACAATTCCTAGGCAGTGAGTAGCGCCAGAGCACATCAACACTTTCTGAAAATGTATTTTCCCAATCAATCTGGTGTGATATAGTGTAAATAAGTTTAGAATTGTATCGATCCTTACGATAACTGACACCCGAATATACTTTCAAATAAATATTCAAACAGTTATATTTCCTTTAGTGTTTTCTTAATGATGATTATGCTTATTATTATGGCCTAGCATAGCCTGGTGGTTAGGACACTAGATTCGCAATCTGTGAATCGCGGGTCCGAATCGTACCACCGAGCATACTCGCCCTTTCAGCCGTTGGAGTGTTATAATGTGATAATTTATCCCACTGCTCATTTGTAAATAGTAACCCAAGAGTTGACAGTGTGTGGCGTTGAATAGCTTCTCCTTTCTAGTCTATCATTTATAAATGAGGGATGGTTGTCACAGATAGTCATCGAGTAGGTTTGCGCGAATTAAAAAGAAACTTATTATTGTGTTTTCGTTTTTATAAGAATACAAAAATTCTACCAAATTTTAATTATTCATTATATATTTTGTTCTTCAGTTTCTCCTATCTGTCGTCAAGACCAGAAGATAGCGTATGGTGTTGCAGTTAACGAGACTGCTTACATCACATGTGAAGTTGAGGCTGATCCTCCTGACGTCACTTTCCGTTGGAGTTTCAACTCTTCCCGATTAGGCCAGGAGTTACTGACCCATTCCTCAGAGGGCCTCAAAAGCATGGCTTCCTTCACTGCGAAAACAAAACACGAATATTCAGCGCTATACTGCTGGGGTAGAAACCGTGTTGGGATGCAGCGGAAACCATGCGTGTTTTCAGTGATCTTTATTGGTAAATACAGAATTTGTGATTACAAGCCATTGTCCATTCACCAACTTTGTATACTTGTGTATAACCTTAAAAGATGCATGATTTTTTCTAATACGTTAATTTGTTCGAATTTTGGAGGATAAGTAGTTCTATGTTTTGTGTAATCTAACATCTTTATGTTTAGATCTCATAAAAATTTGCTTTATGTTCTAAATATCTTCTTATTTTATTCGGTTTAATAATTATTAAAATTACACGTTTTTCATAAAATCAGGCTGCATTACTTAAGTCAGATACCAAGAGTAAACACTTACAGTAATAAAAAAGTTAAAATGGAAAGATAGATTTATAAAGCTACATTATCTCCCCACAGACGGAAAACAGACTAAAAATATAGGATGCGCGTTATCATTCGGACTGGTTTCTTTCTTAAAAGTCACTGATAAAAATACAACGATAAAGATCAAGTTTCGATACATGTGTTGGACATGGCAAAAATAGCCCATTTAGTAACTTTGTGCTTAACAACAAACAAAGAAAAAAGTATTCAGAACACTGTATTGAATTTTTTTCCATTAACCTTGATTTTGCCAAATTGTAAATACGAAAACGGCGTGGATATATTTAGACACAATTTTTTAAGATTTCATTAAGCTCATCGCGCTTTACTTGCTCATTCACAATAAATATCAAAAGAAAAAATATTTTAAATTATTGACCCAGTATCTTTCTTTATGTGTATCCATTCTTGGATTGGAAGGAACCACAGATCTGGAATAAAATAAATGAATGGTTTTAAGTAATTGTAATTTTTTCTATAGGAATAGCATAGAAAGCATTAGCCAACTCCTCACATAAAGATGATTTCTAGAGATACAGTCACAGTAGTTAGTCTTTCTAATGTGACTCTAGAGACACCGCAGTCCCTACTTTCTACCATCATGCACTTATGACTTTGTCTGTTTGTTTGTGTCATGAAGAAATCATAGTTGTTCACCTCACAGACACTATCAATATTACCCAAAGAAAAGAAAACATGAACGATAGCAATAGTGGGTTATACAGAGAGTAATATCTGAACATCATATAATGAATGAATGAAAGTAATAGACGACTATACAGAGTGTAATATTTGAACATCATATAATGAATGAAAGTAATAGACGAACATACAGAGTGTAATATTTGAACATCATATAATGAATGAAACTAATAGACGAACATACAGAGAGTAATATCTGAACATCATATAATGAATGAATGAAAGTAATAGACGACTATACAGAGTGTAATATTTGAACATCATATAATGAATGAAAGTAATAGACGACATACAGAGTGTAATATTTGAACATCATATAATGAATGAAACTAATAGACGAACATACAGAGTGTATATATTTGAACATCATATAATGAATGTAAGTAATAGACGAACATACAGAGTGTAATATTTGAACATCATATAATGAATGAAAGTAATAGACGAACATACAGAGTGTATATATTTGAACATCATATAATGAATGAAAGTAATAGACGACCATACAGAGTGTAACATTTGAACATCATATAATGAATGGAAGTAATAAACGACCATACAGAGTGTGATATTTTTATTTTAAAATCATGCAAGACGTCTTTTATAATTTTTGATACTTTCGTAAATCATTAAGAAATATGGTACAATTTTCCGTTTTTGTTACTATCAGAATACCTCATAAAAAGGTAGGTTTTTTCACCTCATATTGCATTAAGCTCAAAATCTTTAAAAATCAAATCACAACCGATAAATGAGGTACTAAATATAATTTACATACTCTGAGCGTGTGAACGTTTTTCTATGTTCTAGACGCGTCAGCTTCTTTTCTATGTTTCGCCCGAGTGAGTTTCTGTCCGGTGCTCTGGGCTTATGAATTCTTTTTCCATATTCTGATCATCTGAGATTCTGTTCCATGTACTTGGCACGTGATCTTATGTTCGTTTTCTAGGCACGTGAGCTATTCCCTCATGATCTGAACATGTGAGCTTTCGTTCCATACTCTGCCTATATGATCTTATTATATTCTGTGTTCTAGGAACACGAGTTTCTGTTCAGTAGTTTCAACATGTGAGCTTCAGTCCTATACTACTCGTAGGATATGTACTCTTGTTCAGCTCTATACTACTCATGGGATATGTTCTCTTGTTCAGTACTATACTACTCATAGGATATGTACTCTTGTTCAGCCCTATACTACTCATGGGATATGTACTCTTGTTCAGTCTTATAATACTCCTGGGATATGTACTCTTGTTCAGTCCTATACTACTCATGAGTACATATCCCTTGCAAAGCGATTGACCTTTTCGTTTTTGTATTGTCTAGTTATCCAGAAGGAATTTTCAATAAAGTGGCAGATAAATTCTACTTGTCACAGGAATCCTGTGCTGGACAAGTGGAGAATGATCCGTTTAAGGTTACTCTTTGACACATGTTGATGTTTCATCATAGTGGTAACCCTCAAAGGACTATTAATTTCAGAATTACAAAAGTAGATCTTTTTGCTGAAATTACTTCATATGGCGTGGAGCCGCAAGTCATAATGTAGTGTGTGGCGTAAAACCTTAAATCCCCGTGTAATGTGTGTGGTAATTTGTAAGTCCTCATGAGATGTAAAACCGTAAGTCCTCGTGTACTACTGATTCAAGATATTTGAAAGTGTTATTATTAAGAAAGAATAGATATGAGGTATATCTTTACCAAAGTTTATCAAAGTTTGTCAGTTAATAATAGATTTGGATGTGTTTACTTTTATTTCATTACTAGTAAATGGCATCTTTGACTTCATGAGGCGGTGTAACGGCGTGCGTGTGTGTGTGTCCTTCGCCATGCAAGTCTATTAAATTCGGGCGATAAGCGAAGGTACCTTTGATACGCGCAGCATCAAACGCCTCTTTCGTTTGGCGTCGGTTTCACGTAAAAATATTAAAATGACTGCCAAAGTCGATGGGTTTGAGCGATTGCTTATCTATTTCGATCATTGCGGGAGTCCGCCTGAATTCCTCTACCAAAATACCTTCAAATTGCTTCAGCCTTTTCCTCACAACAACTTCTAACGTCAAGACACCAGGCCGACGGACAAATCTGTTTTCTTTGTGTGGATTGTAATGTATTCTGATAAGCCACTTAATAACGGGTTGGAGCACCTTACGCCTGGACTCAGTGTTGTGTAGACTCCACACGATGCCGGAAGGTGTTATGTCTGATTTTAGCCCATTCGTTGAAGTTAAGCACAAAGTTACACAAAGGGCTATCTGTGCTCTGTTCACCACGGGTATCGAAACGCAGTTTCTAGCGTTGTAAGTCCGTAGACATACCGCTGTGCCACTTGGAAGGGGTGGAGGTGGGCATTCGTTGATAAGTATGGTCTCTACAGTTGGTTCACAGGTCTTTCGCCAGAAGGTCACGATGATGTGACGTTCAAGCTGATCCTTTAGATATATACTAAATGCTAAAAGATATTAATTACTAAACAATAAAAGTGATACTAAATACTAACAGATACTAATTACTGAAGATTAATACCAAATACTAAAAGAGACTAAATTGTAATACTGAATAATACTCAATAGTAATACTAAATGCTAACAGATACTAATTACTAAAGATTAATACCAAATACTAAAAGTGACTAAATTGTAATACTGAATAATACTCAATAGTAATACTAAATGCTAACAGATACTAATTACTAAAGATTAATACCAAATACTAAAAGAGACTAAACTGTAATACTGAATAATACTCAATAGTAATACTAAATACTAACAGATACTCAATTGTAATACTAACTATTTATCTATACAAATTGTTTGTTTGTTTTTGAATTTCGCGCAAAGCTACACGAGGGCGTAAATTGGTATGGAGGCTCAGAGGTTCATTAGGTCCATGCGGAGGTACATACAAATTTTATGTTTTGCATTTTCTAAGGATGTTTTGCGTTCTTTACAATTACATACAAGGGAAGTAATTTTTCATGTCTTAAGATAACCTTTCATTAATCATGAATTTACATAATTTTCGTCCAGGGGACGGGTACTCCAGCTAGTTGAATAATAATACCGAATAGTTTTTTATCTTAAGTTTTGGCTGCTATTCTGCTGCCTATTTTCAGGGAAGTCCTGTGTTGGTGGTGACTAACATTATATTCTGGACCTTAGTAGAGAAATGCTGATGCTGTATCCACTAGATTGGTTCTACCGTCCAATAAGCCCCCAGTGGCACAGCGGTATGTCTGCGGACTTACAACGCTAGAAACCGGGTTTCGATACCCGTAGTGGGCAGAGCACAGATAGCCCTTGTGTAGCTTTGTGCATAATTAAAAAACAAACAAACCGTCCAATAATTTCAATTAACTAGCTATGTAAATGTATTAGGGTTTGTTGTCCTGTTTTAAGTTCTGAGTGTGTTATCAGTCAGATCGATATAAAAAACTTTTATCTTTTTCTAGTGTGTGTGGTTCATATCCTGTTATTTATGTGTTATTCCAAATTATTGTATGGTATTCTTCTTTGTCACGATGGGCCATAGCAGACAGATCGGTCTTCCCGAGTTTTGTATACCTATTATGCTCCAATGTATAGGATTCCACATTCACATGGGATGTTACAAATGGTTTGGTGTATAATAACTTTGTATGATTTCAAATAAACCTCTGACATGAGTAATATGGTTGTATGTCTAGAATATTTTTCCAGTTTATTTTCTTCTTTATTAACTGTCATGGATAACCTTTATTAAGGTCAAAAGGTTGTGATTTGTTTTTCTTTACTTCTTCTCAGTTTCTTCGATAGTTAAAATATAGCTCATTCTGGAGACTAGGCAGTTTGTGACTTCACTGTTTTGGCGGTTCGATGTATACTCCAGCTATTTACCTGTATCTGTGGGTTTCGTGTACACTCATGTTGTATATGAGTTTTATGTCTTCGTAACCATCATATCGACGAATTGGAGCACATAATATTTTTCTATTTCCATTATAAATTGTAACTCGAGATGTCTGTTCAGATGGTTTTGATGAGTGCTTAAATCTTGTCTGTTGTTCATAGTCATATTGTGAATGTATTATCCACATATCTGGGCCGAAACTTTGGGTTTGAGCAGCTGTTTTGAGGGCATTAACTTCGAAATGATCCACATAGAGGTTACTAAGTACAGATGACGTGTATAAGCCCATGGCTAGGCCTTACTTTTATTCACGGTGTTTATCTTCATGTTATCAGTTAAGTTCTGTTAATACAGAAAGTTATGAGTTCTGGCATTTTGTTCTTGATACTATATACGTTCATGTTGAAATTAAGTTGTGCTGATACAGAAGGTTGTGAGTTCTATCATCTTGTTGTTGATAATACTTATCTTTATGTTGGATATATGCTGTCTTGACACAGAAGGTTGTGGGTTCTATTATTGTGAAGATTGCCAGTTGGAAGCGTTCCTTGACTCTTTTAATACATTGGTCGTTCAATATTTGTGACAACACATTAAACAACGTTTGACGTTTCGTTCAAAATCTTCTTTCGACTTAACATGTAAGATTAGATGAAGAGTTTAAAATTATTTTCTGTATTATGACTTTTATTTTTAAGCGATACAAGTCTTTTCTCGCTGGGCTTTGTGCTTTTTGGTAACCAGATTAGAATGATTTCTAATGTTATTTCTTCTCAGTTCTAACAAACAGGAAGGGTATTCTCATGTATTCATTTCCTGACAGAAATATTTTTGTATTCACACTTTATTCTTAGAGATTATGTTTTTTTTTGTTCTAATTAGGTTTACCTTCTAAACCGTGTCATTAGAACGTTTAAATCGTGAAATGATATGATTAAACGCTATGCTAAACGCTGTCCTGTCCTGTTCACTTACTTATTACACCAGTTAGAAGTGCTCCTCTAAAATACTGCCCAGAACTATTGCAGTCATTACTATTTATGAATAAAACAAAAAACGAATTTATGGGAATACAAAATATGAGATGTGCGTGTGTGTGTTTTCTTTAGAAACTAATGTAGTTTTCTGTAGTCTTTTTACTTCCTTATACGTAATAATGTACTTTCCTTTTTTTAGAGTTCTTTTTTCCAATATTTCTTCGGAAAATGAGACAGTGTAAAATATATATCCACCATTTAGAGCGTCAGCTAAGATTTAATAATGCTGCGCAATATTTCAAAGTATGTTTGCAAACTATTTTGGATTTATTTCTTGACTCTTCAAGCATATTGTTCTGATTTATTTTCTTATATTAAGCTTCTTCCACATAAACTGACACCATTTTGAAGGACAGTATCAAAGAAATATTATCCAACAACCTCGAAGAAAAGGCACGTGTGATCTAACAGTGTGCTTAAGCTTTTATGACTGTGGGAGAAAACAAAGAAAAAAATTGCGAAATTTTATTTTCCATGATTTACCTGAATAGATAGCTAAATCTTTTAATATTTTTTAATTCTATACAACTTTCACATTAGTACAGATTACAGAACTAACATACGTTTCTAAACTCTCTGTAGGCCCGCCAGAACCGTTGAAAAATTGCACTATCACTAACACGACGATTGATTCTATCCATTTGGAATGCGTGGCAGGCAACGATGGTGGTTTGCAGCAATTTTTCTTCCTCGAAGTTTATAACTCTCAACTGGAACGCTTATCTGCCAATATTACGAGTCATTCTAAGCCCGAGTTTCATGTTTCTGAATTGTCGGAAGCATCTCGGTTCACCCTCCTTGTTTACTCAGCCAATGGTAAAGGAAAAAGCTCCCCTGTTGCTCTTACGGCAAAAACGAAACCTAAACCTCAAGAACTGGCTGGTGAGTTACAATATGTTCTTATTATGACCCCCGAATTGTACCGAATAAACATTAAAACTTTCTGTAGGATATTAACCTCTCCCTATCTGGTATTTACGATGTCATTTTAAGAAATCATTCCTATTACACTTTAATTAACGTGCTACGAAACAAATTGCTACGAAAATGTTTCAGCGGCTATGACTTGAGATGAAACATTAAAACTTTCTGTAGGATATTAACCTCTCCCTATCTAGTATTTACGATGTCATTTTAAGAAATCATTCCTATTACACTTTAATTAACGAGCTACGAAACAAATTGCTACGAACATTTTATTTTTCAGCGGCTATGACTTGAGATGAAACATTAAAATGGCGAAATGAAATGATTCATAGTTGGTATTAGAAGTATTAAAACGAATGTTTCGGTCATTCACAAGTTATAGTTTCTAACTATATAAACTAACTATATATATTCTAACTATATATTGTAATTATATAAAACAGTTAAAATACCGGGAAAAGTAAAAAGATTAAACAACTGTTAAAACAACAGACAAAAAACAAAGTTAAATTCAGTAACTAATACCGGAGGAAGACGTTACTTGGTGTCGAAACATATGGCTAGTTTTAGCTATTGGTTTTAACTTGACAGTTTCTTTTTCTGTGTAGTGCTTCAAAAAGTATTTCATATTAGACTGTAATTGTTGTTAAAAATGACAAAACTTTGAAGAAGTGATCAGTTTTAATTACATGGTTATGTAGGAAAATATTTGTTTGTTAAAATTATAAACTACATTAGAATTTATGCTTTAGTATTTAACCAATAGCAATGGAAAAATACACGTATAATAAGAAAGTTAATAACTTGAAATATACTGTTAGAACTCAAACAGCACTAGGATGGAGAAATGTATTGAAGTGTAACAAAGCAGTATTGGCAGTGAATCAGTAATACAATGGAAAATCAGCATATCAAGTACAACAAGAAAGATAACAACTAATAAAGCAGTGACGAAAGTGAATTAGCATTGTAATTGAAAATTAGCATATTAAGTATAACAAAAATATAATAACATAAGAGGGAAATTTGGATTTTTACTTTTTCCAAGATAATGAATTTTAGAAATAACACTTTTCTGACCTTTAGAATTGCAATTCCTATACCTATTTGGCCTGGCATGACCTAGTGGTTAGGTCACTCGACTCGCAATTTACAGATCTAGAAATCAAACCACATCACAGAACATGCTCACCCTTTCAGCCGTGGGGGTGTTATAACGTAACGGTCAATCCCACTATTCGTTGGTAAAGATAGCCAAAAGGTTGGCGGGAGGTGATGTTGACTAGCTGCCTTCCTTCTAGACTATCACTTCAAAATTATGAACGGCTAGCGCAGATAGCACTATATTGTCTTTACGCGACATTCAACAAAACAAACAAATAACTCTCCTTCTATTCCTAAGCAGGGGTGTGATGAATCCCAAGTTTAAGCCCTTACTACACCTGTTTTATAGAAAACATATTTATATTCCAATAGATAAAAATGGCCTAAGATATTCACAAAGTATCTTGAATTATAAACTAACTGGGACATTTTATCCAAATTATCAATACACTTAACAGTTAATGAGTCAATAATTCACTGCGTTACTTTCATTCTCCCCCAAATCAGCGAACCATCATATTTGAGTTTTGAAACTTTTCTCTGTGTCATATTGCATTTATTGTTTATGTAACGTCAAAACAAAAAAGTTTATTCTTACTGTCTCTTTCTTTTGTCACAATTATTTGTTTTCGTTTAACTGCTAATTTGTTTCTTAGTTCTTTTTTATCTTATTATTGTCTTTTGTTTCTCATATTCATTTTTATCTTACTGTAGTCTTTTGTTCCTCATAGTCCTTTTTATGTTACTGTAGTCTTTTGTTTCTCATATTCTTTTTTATCTTACTGTAGTCTTTTGTTTCTCATATTCTTTTTTATCTTACTGTAGTCTTTTGTTCCTCATAGTCCTTTTTATCCTACTGTAGTCTTTCATTTCTCATAGTCCTTTTTATCCTACTGTAGTCTTTTGTTCCTCATAATCCTTTTTTATCCTACTGTAGTCTTTTGTTCCTCATAATCCTTTTTTATCTTACTGTAGTCTTTTGTTCCTCATAGTCCTTTTTTATCCTACTGTAGTCTTTTGTTCCTCATAGTCCTTTTTTATGTTACTGTAGTCTTTTGTTTCTCATATTCTTTTTTATCTTACTGTAGTCTTTTGTTTCTCGTAGTCCTTTTGTATCATACTAGAATATTTTGTTTCTCGTAGTCCTTTTTTATCATACTAGAATATTTTGTTTATCATAGTCAGATCGCTACTGACTTTGTTTCAGGTAATTTATTTTACCTTGCTACTGTATTTCATCGCTGGTAGTCAGCTCTTCATTTATACTGCCGTCCTTTGTTTCTTGTAGTCACATTCCATATCTTACAACTGACTTTTGTTTGACATTATCATTCTTGTTATTTTATTATTGTTCTTACTCTTACTACTGGATTTTTGTTCTAGTAGTCGTTTTCAAATTTCCTCATTTACAGTTACTTTTACATTTTTCAAACTTAGTCACATTCCACATTTCCTTATCTACGTCTGTACAGAGCAAACACGAAAAGTTGTATAATTATGAGATGTGAATAACACTAAACTTGGTCTAGATACAATATGCTTATTTGTTAAACAAATATGTACAAATTTATAGATGTGTAAAGGTTAATTAAAAACACGAGAGTAGTAGGATAATACTACTTAATCAATGCAATTTTTTCGTTTTTTTCCCCAATTTATTCTCCTTTAAAAACAAGATAGAATTAAGTGTATTGCTTTCGAAAAGTCTTATTTAAGTACTGGTGCTAATCATCAACAGCATTAACTCTTCTCTGAAAATTCTTATTGAAATATTGCCGTTGTTCATCAATACCATTAGAGCTTCCCATAATGAATATTTTTCTCACGTCCTGTGGTATTTTGAAAGTTAGAAGACGAACAATTGATATAACAAGGAAATATATAGCTACAAAACTTTCTTATGAATGCTTGCTGAATGTAATACCAATGAGTTTTCAATACATAACAAAACAAGAAAGGCCGACGATAGAATAATAAGGAAGGGGAGAGCTACAAGAAAGATCGAAGATGGATATAATGGAGGAGAGAGCTACATGAAAGACCGAGGATAGACTAAGGAAGAAGGATAGGGTTACACAGAAAACTGACGATAAGTTAATAATGAAGGAGAGAGGTACAAGAAAGACCGAAGATAGATATAATGAAGGAGAGAGCTACATGAAAGACCGAGGGTAGACTAATGAAGAAGGATAGGGTTACACAGAAAACCGACGATAAGTTAATAATGAAGGAGAGAGGTACAAGAAAGACCGAAGATAGATATAATGAAGGAGAGAGGTACAAGAAAGACCGAAGATGGATATAATGGAAGAGAGAGAGAGCTGCATGAAAGACCGAAGATAGACTAATAAAGAAGGATAGGGTTACACAAAAGACCGACGATAAATTAATAATGAAGGAGAGAGGTACAAGAAAGACCGAAGATACATATAATGAAGGAGAGAGCTACATGAAAGACCGACGTTGGATATAAAGAAGAAAGAGAGAGCTATAAAACATTCTTGTTTAATAAAAGTAATACACCATTTAATCCACAATATATATAATTAAAAGAGTAACGTATGGGTCAGTGTGGAAAACATTTTGAACTACATTAAACTATGCAGAAAGGAAATCAGGAATAGGTAATTAGGGACGACGTCACCATACGCGTAAAGGAGGGGTGGGTGTAGATAATACTAGGCACTGCAAAGAGAAAATTATTTAGAAAATAGATCTATCATCCCTCAGAACCTCATCTCAGACAGCAGTGTTTAGGTGTTAAGGTTTTGTGTGTGAATTTCTTAATTTGTTTATAGATACTTAGAGTACCGGTGCTGTCACCCTATTGAGTTTTAATACTTGACCCCAATACCCAGGTTCGGAAAGTGTCACTAGATCTAGTGTCACTTCTTAGATTGTTTGGGTTTGTTTTAAATTTCGCTCAAAGCTACATGAGGGCTATCTACGCTAGTCGTCCCTAATTTAGTAGTGATAGACTAAAGAGAAGGCAGCTACCCACCGCCAACTCTTGGGCTACTCTTTTACTAATGAATAGTGGATGAGTCGATCGGTTTGTCATTTGTAATCAGATCATTGGGCTTAAAGTGTCTCTTGGACTAGAGGCATTTGGTGAGTATCATGTGTTGGAATAAGTTTAACCTCGCAGACATTGAGACGCCCCGCGTGGCTATCAGATTTGATCAGAACTCGGCTCTCCTAATCTCATATGCGAGTAGTCTAGGAAGGTCATTTAACTGTTTTAATTACTTTAAATACACAACACTGTCTTTACGTTTTATAAACTTTGGGCATTCAAATACAAAATACTACAACCAATTTCGTACCCAAAGCACGAGTTTTCAACTTTAGTTATTTATTACTGCAAAAAACAGATATGGGTATATTTTATTCGTTTCTATAACACGTGGTACATGTTAATTTTAAATTAACATTTCATTTAAATGGAATAACACCAATAAATACATGCATACATATTTATATATACACTATACATAAGGTAAACTATTTAACATAATTATAAAACAATATAAAAATATATTTTAATAGATATAAACATGTTTATACAATGTTAGTTCACATACAGTCGGAGAACTGAAATTCTTGAACACTCGTCTAATCTAAAGAAACATTCCTGCGTTTAATTATTCCCAGCAATTCTCTTACATTCAGTTAAGTTTAATTACTCTTAGAACAAATTAATTCGGTCTCATCATATAGGATACGGTGGTTTTAGTTAATAACATGTTCTGCTATACGTAATAAAGCGCAGTTTTTGATTTTTACTGCAAACTTGTGTTTATTAAACAATATTTTAGTTTACTAATTATCTAACCAATACAGACGTTGTT